CATTAATAAAGAGGAGTAGGTTGCAAATTGGCGCCCAACGTGGGGCTATTGAAAATTCTGATCTAGGCCTAACCTACGATTAACCTACACAATTTAAGATAGGCCCTAGTAACCAAATTAACACACAACTAACAAACCTTCAAATACACAAATAAAAAGTATATGCAACAACACAGGGAATAATCATTTATTTAATCAATATGAGTGACGATGACAAAAGGTACAATTTACGACCAAAGCCGAAGTTATCGTGGAAGGCAGCCGAAAATAATTTGCGTTACAATACCGACAGTGAATCAGACCCAGACGATAATTGTGGCGAATTAGCAAATGCTAATAAGCAAGATAATTTTGTGAACACCGTAAACAACATACAATCAAACGACATGAACACACAGCACAACGAAGGACACGATCTACAAGAACACATTCATATACAAAGCGTCACTACTAGAACTAGAACAGACAACACAGCAGACGCACAAGACAACGCCGCCATGACATCCGCATCGAATTCACACCAGCCAATGGGAACACAGGGAATGGTGGAACGAGAACTGGACACAGCAGAAGGACTTGACATAGAGGAGAAGAAGAACGGCGGAGATGAATCGTCACAACAACAGACAGACAAATCAGCTGATGTGAGTGACGTCACTATGAAAGCCACCACACTGACATCGAATGAACATACGACTGGAGTCACAGACATCGCATCACTGCCTCTAACAGCTGCGAGTGAAATAAATATGAATGATTCTATTCTTCAATTAATGCGAATGGTTCAACAGAATAATGCATTAATAATTTCACAACACGACACATTAAAATTAGAAATACAATCTGAAATGTCAGAAATAAAATTACAAAATGATAATTTAAAATCAGAAATTCAGCGTGAAATTAAACAGTGCCAGATTTCCCTTGAAGAAAAAATCACCTCTGTTAAAACTAACCAAGAAAACATGCGTAAGGAAATGGATCAGATACAAATAACTCAGATTCAACATTCCAAAGAGATCCTTACAATGAAAGAAACGTTTAAAGCAGAAATATATGAATGTGATACCAAAATACGTGAAAATTTAATCCAAGACTTAGAAGAACAAAAATCCGAAATGAAGTCCATGATAATCCAAAATAATTCTCAAACTCTTGAAAAAGTGAATTTGGAAATACAAAAACAAAAATATGATATTCATTCACAGATAAACCAATTCAGGTCGGAACATGAACAACTTATAACAGCAAAATCAAAACAAAATGCCCATGAAATACAAAATTCACTGATCGTTATTAAAAATCAAGGTCAAGAAATTTCAGCTATCCAACAGAATCTACAAAAACAAAGTGAGGAGATTATTAAAATAAAACAAAATATCACTAAACATGGACAAGTAACATCGTCCCCTCAACATATCTATGTTACATGTAACGGAAACTCCGGAATCGTGTCAGATATGACATTACCAAAATTCAATGGTAGAGGACATAACCCTAAAGAGTTCATTGCCAAATTATATAAATATTACAAGAAAAGTCTCCTTAAAAAGAATCCAAACGATGACGATGTTGAATTTTTAACTGACCTTATTGAAAATAGCCTAGAAAATCACGCTGCACGTTGGTTTAACCTAGTGAAACGTGACGTAAGTAATTGGGAATGTTTCCAAAACATGTTCGAAAGCAAATACTGGAATAAAGACACACAACGAGGAATCAGACAAAGACTGGAATCTGAAAAATATCGTAACAATGGTAATCTTTCACGATCTGAATATTTTGTCGAACGTGTCCTCACACTACAATCATTGACACCACCCCTTGATGAAGAAGAAATAGTGGATTGCCTGTGCGAACATTTCGAAGAACTAATCCAGAATGCACGACGAGTACAAAATATAACTACTATCCAAGGGTTTGAAGCCTTACTTTTACGGGAAGACATCAAAGATCAACAGAAGAAAAATCAACATAAACCATACATCTCAAACTTACATCAAAATCCGCAAAACAAATTCAACGAGCAATCACGAAGAAATGAAGATTATAATGATCCACATAAGAAAGAATGGAGGGGATCAGATTCAAATCGAAACCGTTACGATAATAGAGCCTATGTTCCAAAGAACCAATACTACCGGACAGCACCTCAACCAAATGATCAGCCTTATAATAGATATAACGACCGTAGGACAAATAATTATCAACCACCAGCGAATAACCAGACAAGTTCCAAACCCAATTACCACGTTAATCAAAATGACGGAAGGCGATATCCTACCCATGAACAAAAACAAATATGCCACATAACTATCGAACGAAGTCCAAATCAACCAAATATTTCCCCAACAACTCCTAACGAATATAAGGAGCCTTTAAACTGTTAGGCACTGTCGATAATAGTTGCCTACAATCAACATCAGAATCTATATTAAATGAACAAAGATCTTCAGTGCCAAATATTAACAAAATCGGATTAAGTAGGCAAATTAATAATTATAAACCAAATGACGAAGACGCTCAAACTATATGTAATATCTATTGTGACCGAGAATTCCTACTTACAGAAGAACCAAGTCTTAATGAACAATGCTCATTAAAACAAATTCCAATTCATTATCCAGAAATCAAAATTAAAATTAATAATATTTCTGTAAATGCTCTTATTGATACAGGTTCAAACGTAACGTGTATGTCTGAAAATTGGTACTCTGAGAACCAAATAAACATTGGCCGTCATGAACAATTACCAGTTGTGGGTACAAGTATTAAAACCGCTGTAAATGATAAATCAAAGAAAATATCAAAAATAATAATGTTGCCAATCACCATAGATGATCAAATCACGAACATTCAAATGTTGATTGTACCCAATTTAGTAAGACCTATTATATTCGGAATGGACGTGTTAAGCTCATGGAAAACTGTTATGGATTTCAATCAAGAACAAATAATAATAAATATAAATGATTCACAGAAAATATTAAAGTTTGACAAAGTTAGTACAGAAGGGATATTATGTCATATAATAAAAGAAAAGCGTAATAAAATAGCCAACAATCTTAACAAATCACATATAACTTATTTTCATCCAGGCGATTTAGTACTCATAAGAAATCATCCTCTTTCAAATTTAGCGCAAGGCGAGACTGCCAAACTATTTGAAGTGTATGAAGGACCATTCAAGATTAGCAGAGTGTTAGGATCATCGACATACTTCATTAGTAGTTTAGAAAACCCAGAAGAATTCGGTCCATACCACATTTCTTCAATCAAGAACTATTTTCCCCCCATGAACAACGAAAATGTTTAATTCCCTTTCCTGTTCTCTGAAAATCAAGTGCATAAACAATCTTTTAGTGAAAATGACCGTATTGTTTAAAAGACAATTATAGTGCTCAAGATAAACTTTTATAAAAGATGAGAGGACTGTGTGTTCAGTGGTGATAGACTGATAGACAATAGGAAATGGTTAATTCCCACACACTCACACATCACAAATATATAGACACAAAACCACTTTATGTTTTCCACTGTTTCTGTTCTTTACCACTGTTTGTTTGTAATAATAATATTATTAATCATTTTTTTGTTGTGTTAACGTCCCATGTTATGTTTTATCAGGTTATATTTATGTTTTCAATGTTTGTTTTTATTCTAGATAAAAAAAAGGTTCTGTTTATGTAAATTAGTTAAGTTGTCATACATTCATTCATTATCTTATCGAAATAATGTTCTGTTGATTCATCACCATACCATCATTTCTGAGGGGATATTGAGATAAAACATGAATATACTCATATGTGAATTGTAGCTAAATTACTTTTAATATTTATTAATTACTGTATTTTCAAAAAGAATATTTAAATTTAATGAAATATAAATTAGTGAAGAAGAAAAACTATATTCAAAAATACCATTCTAAAATTAAATAGTGTCTAGGTAGGAAATATTTCTTTTGTACTGTCCAGTGTCCAGGTGTGAAGTAATTGTTGGAAGGAAAGCTAAAGAAAAGGAAGAAAATGTGCTTGTGGTGGAAGATATAGAGAGAGATGGATGTGGGAGCCAAGTCTCCAGTGATTTAAATATCCAAAATTGAAAATTAACATTCAGAATACATATAAATATTGAATATAAAGAGACATAACTTAAAGAAAGAAGAAAATCACTATTCAACAAAATTGGTAATTCAACCTCAATTAACACTTAAAAAACTCATCATCAATTTCAACCACCACATTGTGAATTGACTAAATTCAAGTGACTTTCAAATTAAGAACTTATAGCCTAAATTTTTTTATTCTCATTATTAGCCTATCTCCTATTATTTAGCCTATATTAGTACTGTATGGATTAAGTTAATCAGCCTATCAGAATTCCATACCCGGCACGAACCAACCCCTAGATTAAATAATTTTCTCTCCAAATTGTTAACTAGCCTAGCCCATCAAAAAAAAAAACCTAAACCAAAATATAATTTCACTATCTTAGCCCAATGAGATTATTGTAATAGCTATAGAACCTAAATATATTTTATTATAACTTTATTGTAATTTTATTATCTAATTTAAGTAAATTCATATTTTGAAATTCATTAATAAAGAGGAGTAGGTTGCAAGTTATGGTGGATTTTATCAAAAAAATTCAAAAGGTACCTACTTTTTAAAATCATTTTCATAAATATAAACATTTTTTAGGTAAAATAGAGTACTACAACCTCATTTCCTGTTAAATCTTCAAAATCCTTTTATACACCACTTAACTACAAATTTGCTAACCACATTTCCAACATGTAGCTACAACGTTTACCTGCAGTGGCTCTTCCCCCCTATACTCTTCTACGGTGAGCCTATACAGTAAATTAATCAACTACTGATGTATTTTTTCTGCTCCACTGGGTACGACTAGAACATAACTGTCTCAACTTCTTTGTTTTTTGTGCTACTCACTCACCATTGTATTGTTGTGTGATCTACATAGCACTGGTTCTTGTGTAGTATCAATGTGGCAGTGAGCAGACTAGGAGGCTCGTATGGACTGAAGGTCTCCCGTGGTAGTCTGGCAGCTTGTGCTTGCAGTCTAGCGGCCTGGCTGCTGCAACGTCCTGTACACATGCTACTCTCTGTGGAAACTCAAATGGAAGCTGTCGGGAAAAGATACCCTTGTTATTTCACTTATGAGGTAAAATATTGGTTATATATCTTATCTTTTTTTAGTCATATAAGTAATAATCTATTTCACTAATACTTCCTGGAGTTTCCAACACACTGGGCTTGCAGGATCGATCATGTGACTTGACCACATAAACCGTGTTGACATAGAAGAAAAATGTTACATAAAACTGCTATCCAGAAGTGTTCACTATGTCAGCTTACAACTAAGCTTGCTTTTGCTCACAGGCCACAAGGCCTACTTCAATCCACAGATTTTTCTGGCTTGGACTCCTGCTGCCACCAAAGAGGTCCTAGGACGGTCAACGAGTTTTTTGTCATTAGCCCCATATGACCATTCATTATTGTATTATTTTCTGATATCTTGGTGGAAGAACAACCTATAAAACAATAAGTCTGTTTGTTAAAAAATATGCTGAAATTAGGATTAAATTTATAGCTAAATGGAAATATGAGTTGCAGCTTGTAACCATGTCTATTTTTTTTAAATATTTGTAGACTTAAATGATTTGAGTTTTAAATTAAATACCATCAACCTTTCTTACAATGTTTCAGGTATTCAGCTGAAAGTGATCTTAAATGTGGCCTAAGTTTGCCTTATCAGTATAGATGTTAAGTCTGCAATAACAACTTACCAATAACTTAATTTTTTTCTGGTACATTTAAAAAATGATATTGATTAAATTAATAATTTCTTGTTGATAAGCTGTAAACTGATTTCTAGAGTGTTAAGTGATGTGTACAGTTTTCTTGGTACACAGATTTTTGCAACAACAAATAAAACAAAACACAAACTTAAAAAATAAAATAACCAAAAAGGTGACCTCAAAGTTCTGAATTTATTTATTTACTTTCATTGATTTAATTTCTCAAACAAATTCTGATCACTACTGAATTTTAAAACTTAAATTTTTCAGGCTGGTGTCGATGGTGAGGGAGAAATTAAGTATCTCCATTCTCAGTTTTATGAAGATGCAGGAATCACTTTCAACGACAATGTTGTGCCACAAGCATTCAAAGCTTTTTCAAATGTTTACAACACCAGTACCTGGGGCACTAAGATGTATGATGTAAAAACTGATAAACCAAGTAACATATGGAGTCGTGCTGGAGGTAAGGAAATACTTTGCATGTTGTTACTGAGGTCTAGGAAATCATTTACACATTCATGGATCTAAAGAGAATAGTTTTCTGTTTGTGATTTGTACAAGTATCCATCAAAACTCAGCTTATACCGTACCTTCTTAAGATACACGCCTCCCTCACCCAATCTCAATGAAAGGAAAAGTTGTAACTTTGCCGCAAAATTCCTCCATGTCCTCGGTGTTATTTCAACAAGTTTTTTTTTTAAACAAATGTACCTGCCAGAACTATCTGTTAATCACTTGGGTGTACTTTAACTTCAAAACAATAATTGTCACACAATTCACGCTGGACTATTAAATGTATAGATATTATTTTGTATATTGAATATGTGTATATTTTGTAAAATTTTCTCTTTGGAATTAGATTTTTGATACTGTCAACATTTGTTCAAAACCTGAGTTATACAATACAAAATGTAATATTTAAACTAGCCTAGCTGTTGTACCCGTGCTTTGCAACGGGAAGAGGACACAAAATAGAGACATTTTAATCTTTATCTCTTGCATATAATAGTTACACATCCGCCAACGCTTTTAGAAACAAAATTAAACTTTTATGGCCTTAATAGAAACGTTTAAGTTATGACTTTTAAATCTGGTAAGTAGTGGATACCACCATTTTGGTTTTGATAAATTTTAAATCTTGTGTAGGCTGATATGAGAAAAACTGACCAAATCTTCGAGTAAAACTTTGAGATACATGATTTACCAGATTTACCTTCATCTCCCTTAATTACACATCTTTTAATTTATTATTGACATTTTCAATTTCAATTTTGAAGTTGCAAAAATACTAATTATTAAATTAAAATATCTTTATATTAAACTCTTCTTTATATTAAATCACAAATCCTTTCATCTTCAGTTTTTTCACTCACAATAAATAATTGGCAAAACTAAGTCAGCTGTTATAAACTTTACAAATATTGCTGTGCCTTATCAATTCAGTCTTTTGAAATGTTAAAGAAACTATATCTATATAGGTACTATAAAAAATTTCAAACAAATAATTTAGCATTAAAGACAGCAGACAAAACTAATATGATTATCAAAGCATCAAGGACTAAAAAATGTAATAGCAAATACAGTGTTTCATTGCATCTCTGATTCTACTCTACAAAAATATCAACAAACAACTTAATATACAAACCAGTTCTTTTAATCAGTTCCATCGACATTTTCACACTTACCATTAAGAAAACATAGTAACAGATATTTCATTGATTGTAGAAACGAAAGAACACTGTGTACTGCTTAGTTTTATGATATTTTCCTTGGTTTAATTTAATCAGTGGTGTGACAAAACACAAATAATAAATGTATCAAATAAAGTAAATGTGAACTGAAAGCTACGTTTAGATAAAATAAGAGTATTTTGTATTATCATTTGATAATTAAATATAGTTACACATATACAACAGATTTTAGAAAACAAAAATCAACAACAATTTAGTTATTGATGATATTCTTTAGTTTAATTTAAGCATAGGTTTAGCAAAACACAATAACTTAATTTACCTAAATATACATTTAAAAAACCATGTGATGTGCTGATGTGCAAGTTATGTTAAGTTAATCTAACACATGTGAAGCAGTTAAAATTTATTTAAAGTAGCCTCTAAATTCATACAAAACATCTATACATTGTAATTTTCATACTGTTTTCATGAAAACATATCAATAACATTATTTTCACTTAAGATTATTAACTTAAGACGCTTTAAAAATTCCAAAGCAGAGTCGGAGTTGATACAGCAACGGTTATAAAATCTTTTTTTTCTATAATCATTGACATAGTTTTAGAATAAATAATCCATGATAAAAGGTTAGATTAAAATAAACCTACTTCATAGTTATGGAAAATATTATATTTAATTTCTTTGTATCAGCTGTCTGAAATTGTGAAATATGCAGTTTAACAGTTCTTCTTGTTTATATTTAAATGTCAAAGCAAATGTAAACAAACATTGTTGGTGTTCTCATCACAGCCATGGAGACCGATCAATATTATTTACTTTTAAAATGTTCACCTCAGAACTTTTAAAGCCAAAGGGGCAAAGCCTACGGTCAGTATCGAAATGTGAATAGTCCTATAATGGTCCTTGGTATTGTAGCTATATTTTTGTAAAATTTAAGCCCAGTTGATTCAGTAGTTTTTGCACCTATTAGTAATACGCATACAGACAGACACCATTAGATTTTTATATAATAGTAAGTATAGATCTAAACACTATACTAACTGATAGTTAAGTTAATTTGATGATTTGGTTTGAATGTGGCCAGGTTCCCTGGAGGCCATCACGATGGCTGAGCATGTGATGGAGCACATTGCCCATGAGCTGGGCAGAGATCCGCTGTCTGTGAGAATGTCCAACTTGAACTTGAGCTATCCCATACCTGATCTTATAGCTCAACTCATCAAGAAGTCTAATTTTGATGCCCGGAAATCAGCCATAGACGATTATAACAAGGTGATTCTCGCCGTACTATAGTAGGTTGTTGTATGTATTATAGTAGGTTGTTTTAATAATTTTCTAGGAAACTGCAAAAACTTTTAACCAATTACTAGGCTAAAGTACCAGACTAGAGATGATTACTGTGGTGTTTGTTTAGTAAGATTTTTTATACTTTAATGTGAACTAGATGAGACATCTCTTGAGTTGACCGATGCTTCTATTTGTCAAAAGAGGTAACTCACTTAGGTCCCATCTCTTAAGGGGTTATTGAGAAATAATTTTTTGAACTTTAAATCTGTTTTGCAACTGATTCCTCACATATATCAAAGGAGGCATGGGGTGTATTATTTGCATTGTCTAGTCCCAACTTACTGGAATAAAAATAACAATAATTGAATTTTGGGTAAGAAGCAGAATTATTATCATAAATGTTTTTAGTCGTAAAATCTTGTCTCTCTGAATGTACTGTGCGTTCCCTTGTGAAACCTTGTATAGATCTGGAATCTAGATCTGGACCTTGTATACATATGAACCACTTCTAAGTTTGATATTACAATTTGCCTTCTGTGTTTGCCTTAGGTCAATCAATCAATATCAATCTTTACTCACATATTTATTGAGTAAAGAGTTGAATCAAGAGTTCTAATCTTTTGTGATCAGCAAATTACTACTTTAATTTCAAATACTGTGTTGTAACGAAGGTAAGAGAATCATTAATTTCAACTTAAGTTTTCATTTAGAATTACCATTTAGAACTTTAGTTTCCACACATTTATTTGTTCTCTAATGTACAGTTTATAAAGGTAAAAACGATTAATTAATTTCAAGGTTGCTTTAACTTTTTAAATCTTAACTGTACTACATAATGCATTTCTAAATATTTCTATGCACCTTCTAAAATTTTCAGAAAAATCTGTGGAAGAAAAAGGGAATATCCTTAGTTCCAATGAGATTTCCAGTAGAGCTAGTAGGAAACTATCATGCAACATTATCAGTCTATCAAAAAGATGCAACTGTCCGAATAAGCCATGGTGGAACTGAGACTGGACAAGGAATCAATACAAAGGTAAAAAATATGTGTAGGCCTAGTTATAAGTCTACGCAAAATGGAGAACTGGCCCTAGTCCGATGGAAGAGTGTTGGTAGCTATGTTTTTTCATGAATTCCTATAGCAAATGATAATTTTTATTTTAAAGACACGTCCTGTGGTACTTCTCCATCGGCAAAATTGAGAACATCTTCAGCAGTCAGTAGTCACGGAAAAAAATGAATATATTCCACGTTTACAGCGAAATCATGAACATTGACTGTGATCATGGCGAAATCATTGGCAGTTTTTGCAATGGTTATTTGGGTTGTGTTACCCAAGCAGCCTCTGATGATTTGTCTTGTGTTTCACTTGTGGCTGGCCTAGCATCTGCTAATAAATGTTTTCATTTTGTTTTTAAATATTTTTAATGTGTGTTCACTGATAAAGACGTCTGTTGGATTTTAAGACAAACTAGTAATCCTCAGACATATGTAAGACTGAACACGGGCAAAGGTACGTAACCTATCATATTTTATTGTTTTAGGTTGCACAGATTTGCGCCGCATTATTTAAAATTCCCATTGAATATGTGTTTGTAACAAAAACAAACAACTTAGTCTCTGCAAACGATGCTCCTGCTCAAAACGGATTCTCAGATGAAAGTGTATTCTATGTGAGTATGTTTGATTTAATATAGAAATCTCTATAGTTCAAGTTCTAAAAAGTAACATAACTGCTCATTTATAGGGTGGTTTGGTTTACAAAACATTATAACCAATAGTTGTTCTGCCCACTCTTCACAACAGGGAATATTAAAGAGAATGATGCGGGGGTCTCTAAATCTACTGTAAAAAAACTGTTACACTTACCATACAAATTGTATAAAAAATGTTGCAGCCAGTTCTCGGTCGTACATATAGCTTGTTTTGTTTTAAATCACTTGTTGTAAATCAATTGTTGTAAATCACTTTAGTATTTGCATTAAACTGTGTGGCAGAATCCAAACCAATAACTTTATTGTAATGCACACATCTATTATGAGAATCAAACCACAGAAAACATACTACTATAACCCAGTTCTAGGTTCGAGGTACAGTTCGTAGGCAGCGCCACCAGCGTTGCAATGCACTCAACATATCAACATCACGAATTGACAGGCAAAGCTCTCTCAAAGTACTTAACGCTTTTTATCATGCGGTTGGCATTCTGGGCTATAGTAGTATGTTTTCTGTGATCAAACGGAGTAAATGGCTACCATTTTGAAAGTAAACATGATAAAAAATAATATTTTGTCTCAAAATAGGTCTTTGCATTATCAACCTATGCACTAAATTTCAATCCATCACTAACAGCAATTATGAAATTAAAAGGTTTGTTGAAAAAACAAAATGGCAACTATACGGGTGATTTTTGTTTGTGTTTGGTCCAGGAATGATAAATACCAGGTGGAAGAGAGTTCCTGGCCACCCTGTGTAATACTACATTCGTGTGACACGTTTCACCTGTTTACACACCTGAAATTCTATTGGACCATATTTGTCCTGTCTACCCTACCATTGTGATATTTTATAGTAGAATTACAAATCTTTTAATTGCCTAACATTTATTACTGTTTTGGCTAAAGGTTAGGAACGAAAAAATAGGAAAGTATTCAGTATAACATGGTATAACTGTGATCAGTGGTGAAGTGGAGCAGGGAACACATGGGGGCGTTACCACTCTGTTCTATTTTCCAAAAAAATCTTTATTGACAAAAGACTTTTTCTGAAGCAAAATGACCGCTCCTGAGCTGGGAAGTTCACAACTACATTACTGACTGTAATATGTTCAGGCAGTAGAACAGTGTTGTCTGGAACTGCTGAGACGCCTGGAGCCAGTCCGACAACCTCTAGGCGACCCAGACTGGCTGACTCTCATCAGAGCTGCATTCAACCAGTACGTCAACCTCAACGTCTCATACATGTGAGTGTGACCATCAATTGACTATAAACCTCGCCATTGAATAACTTGAGTAGTCGGAGTTAAAGGTTACAGTTCCAGCCCCCAGCCAAGAGAAGAGGCTTGCTTTTGCTCACAGGCCACAAGGCCTACTTCAATCCACAGATGTTTCTGGCTTGGACTCCTGCTGCCACCAAAGAGGTCCTAGAACGGTCAACGAGTTTTTCGTCATTAGCCACATATGACCATTTATTATTGTACTATTTTCTGATATCTTAGTGGAAGAACCACTTATAAAACAATAAGTCTGTTTGTTAAAAAATATGCAGAAATTAGGATTAAATTTATAGCTAAATGGAAATATGACTTGCAACTTGTAACCATGTCTATTTTTTAAACATTTGTAGACTTAAATGATTTGAGTTTTAAATTAAATACTATTAACCTTTCTTACAATGTTTCAGGTATTCAGCTGAAAGTGATCTTAAATGTTATAATGTTTTTGGAGCTACAGCTCTTGAGGTTGAAGTGGATATTCTCACAGGAGAATACAGGGTAGGTAAAAAATGTTCCTATATAGTACAATAGATACGGTAATTATTGTGAGAAGTCCTCACAATGTGTGTACTCAAAATCAACAAACCCTATTAATGTAGTGCTTGTAATGTGCAGTCAGGCAGACAGTGAAATTGAAATTGATTAATATTTTTTAAGCATTTACTTTTATTTAGAGTCATAGCTGAATTTCACCAACTACCAAAGGCAATTTGGTTGAGGTGCATCCAATAACTGCTACATGTTTGTTTACATACAATTTATTGAATGACTTTCAGTGAACAGAGTTTTGTATCATAAAGAAAATTTCTCCCCTGAACTACCCATCTTTTATTTTTATTGTGATTGGTGGAACAATAGCTAAACAATGGCTCTGAGCTATTCTGACTCTGATGACTTAATTTTAATTTAGTTTATCTCCCATCCTTCTCCCTTTGAATCTTGAGATTGTGGAAATAAGCCCCATCCTGTTGGCAGGTTTTGATATGAGGCCTTCATGGATCTAAGTCTTGCACTACCATACCAGCCAAGCTTTGAAGAATACCAAATAACTCCCATCGTGTTATTCAGTTATTCTGCTAATAAGGATTTATGCTTTTGTAAATAGATTTCCTAAAGTATGTAAATATAAGAATTATTTTATGATCTTGGGAGTGAGCTGGTTTAATGGTAAAATGCGGAAGCAAAGTCTGGGGTTCACATACCAATCATCAATGGATTTTATTTAAGTGATAATCTGCGACCCTCTAGACTGAAGTAATGTAAAAACAGTTGCGGATAGAGCTTATAGTGTCCTACTTTGATGATCAACTAAAATAATATTAAGTATTTATGGGTTTTCTGGACAAAAAGTAATTTATGCTTATAGGTGATCCGAGCAGACATTCTAGAGGATGTTGGCAAAAGTCTTAACCAGTTCATTGACATCGGTGCAGTAGAAGGAGCATTTGTAATGGGTTTGGGATATTTCACTTCGGAAGAGCTCAAGTATGATGCCAAGACAGGGAGTCTACTCACAAATAGACCTTTGGTATGAACTTTGGAAATCATTAAGTTAACATTTTAACTGAACAAAAAAGGAAAACCAAAGTAATAAAATATATATCTATGTAGATAAAACATTAAAACTATATGTTGGAGAGTAGAAAATATATACAGGATTAGTGAAAAGTCTAAACACATTTTAAATTTTTGATGTACATACCAATTCTATAACACCTTTTGAGTAATGAGTAATGACATTGAACTTTCTAAGTATAATAGCATATGTTTATTACCTCAAATTTCGTATTCAGCAGGCAGTTTGAAATTTTCTGATATACGGAAACCCACATTAATTGACATCATATTTTAAATGTCCTAAAAAAGAGCAAAAACTAGAGGTAGGCCTATCTGTCAAAACTCATAATTTTGTATAAAATCACAGCACGTTTCAAACTTTGATGAAATTATAACTGTTGGTTTTGTCAAAAAGTACACTCCTTATAAATTCTTCTATGGCTATTTCTAGTGAAGCTCAAACCTAGAGCCATATGAAAATATTTCCAATTCAAATTTTTAAAAGCTCCCTTGGTTAAACCCAAGGCTATTAAAAAGAAAAAGAGGTTGCCTCAGTCGCGCGTATGACGTCACCCGCCGACCCGGATCTGTTTACAAATAAATAAATGAAAAACAAACAACAATAACAAAGTACTTGACAGGTGACAGCTGTGTGAATTAAAAGCAGCACCGTCTGGGTCGGCGGGTGACGTCATACGCGCGACTGAGGCAACCTCTTTTTCTTTTTAATAGCCTTGGGTTAAACCATCTGTCCCAAAATGCAGCATTTTGCAGGTGTCCTCAGCTTTTCACCTATAAACCTTTCTTAAGTGATCGGACACTTTATAAAAAGGCATTTAGTAAAAATGATTTTTCCTACACTATTCTTGTTCTAAAGAAGAGCTATCAAACTAATGACCGATTCAGGGTCGAATCAACAAATAAAAAATATCAGTCAGACATCCCTCATGCTTCCGAACCACATACTCAGTTGGTTAATTAATTGCTACCCATTTGATAGCATTATTATTATTGTCATTATTATTATTATCACATATTGATGACTAATTGTGTACCGGTACACAAAAAACTAGTAGTATAGTGCAAAAAAATGTTATACGGTTGAACAAATTTTATTTAGTTTCATAAGTTATGACGCATTAAAAAGGTATTCTTGGTAGCTTACTTCATTATGATATTAAATTTGTGGTTAGTTTCATGATTTATTTATCCTCGAAGGGATACAATAGAGGACATCAATTCACACAGACATTAAAACCATTGGAAACCATATTGTTATCTACCTGTTTGAATATCACTAATTACTACTGCAGCTACCATGTGTTTGTTTCAGTTCTACCATATTCCTGGAGCCAAAGACATACCTACAGATTTGAGGGTTTATTTATTAAAAAATGGAGATAATCCTGATGGCGTTCTAAGATCCAAAGGTAAATTTTAGTACAATTTACCAATTTAAAAAATCTCAATAAAACTTGTTTTTATGGCTGATTATATATGCTCTATATGCACTAAGAACCATTTGGGAGCTAATTAATACAGATAAACAATGTACAAAATTACATTTTTGTAAATTATTTAGATTTAAGAATCATGCAGTATGACTAAACTCATGTCTGATCCTTGCTTATTATTTCCCTTCTTCAGCATCAGGTTATCAACTGTGACATGTTTCAGCTGTTTTCCAACCCCCACTTTGCCTGGCATCTGCAGTGATGTTTGCAATCAGGCAGGCACTTACCTCCGCACGCTCGGACCTAGGCTTGCCTTATAAGTACCTCAAAATCGGTAATTATTAAACTGAATGTTACATAAAAAATAAAACCGCTAGAATATTAGTTGCTTATTAGTTACTAGAAAATAATGGTGCGGTTTTAACAACCTGTAAAACTGTTATAAGACAAATTAAATGACTTCTGTTGGTATCCCTGTATCTAGTCGCTCAGTTTTGTTCACATTTGTTAAAACAGCTGTTTTGATTGTTGTACTATTCAAAACATTCTTAATCAATAAGTTGAGTTTTTTTTCGACCAACATGTTTTCAGATCAGGAAAAAGCTAAGTGTGTATTGTTATTAAGTGAGTTAAAGTCAGTGACTTTAGTGCAACGGGCATTTCGAAGAGCATTCAATAAAGCTCCGCCTCATAAAAACAACATTAATCGTTGGAGTAAGCAATTCATAAACACTGGGTCAGTTAAAAAGCAAAGTAGACCTGGTAGACCACCAGTATCTAACCAGACAGTTGAAGACATCAGACTATCTTGTGTTAGAAGTCCAAAGAAATCCCTCCCTCGCCGTAGTCTTGAATTAGGAATACCTGTAAGTACTCTTCACAAAGTTTTACACAAAAGACTCCATCTTCATGCCTACAAAATTCAACTTCTTCAAAAAATAAAAACGGCAGATTTGATAAAAAGAGCAGGATTCGCTACATTTATGTTGAACCAAATGGCAGAAAATGAATCATTTTTGAATAAAGTCGTTTTTCAGATGAAGCCACATTTCACATCAGTGGTTGTGTTAATAGGCACAACGTAAGAATTAGGGGAGCTCAGCATCCTCATGAAACTTTTGAAAAGGAAAGAGACTCACCAAAAATAAACGTTTGGTGCGGCCTATCCAGAGAAGAAGTAATTGGGCCATTTTTCTTCGCTGAAAAAACTATCAATGGAAATGTTTACTTGGACATGTTAGAAAACTATTGTTTTCCTCAACTTGACGACATGGAAAATGCAAAAAGCCTTTATTTTCAGCAGGATGGAGCACCTCCACATTATAAAACAATTGTTCGAGATGCTTTAGATGTTAAGTTCCCGAACAGGTGGATTGGAAGAGGCGGTCCTATAGCATGGCCCCCCAGGAGCCTGGACCTGACTCCATGCAATTTTTTTCTTTGGGGTCATGTAAAAAACATAGTATATGCTCAAAAAAATTGCAATTTGGACTACCTAAGGGAAAGAATCATTCATGAGCAGTTTCAACGGTGACAAAAGAGATTTTGCAAAATGTGTGGGCTGAAGTAGATTATCGTTTGGACGTCTGCAGGGCTAGGAATGGTGGCCATGTTGAGCTTTTTTAGATATGTATAAAATCTTTTTAATGTAAGGAATCCAATAAAATAAATAGTTTTTTTGTACCTCTTCTCGTTATCTTTTTATTTAATAATCAAACCGCACCATTATTTTATGGAAACCCTGTATATATAGATTAATTAATTAAGGTTACATTTCAATAGATGTAATAATGAAGCTCTTTTAAGTTATTCTGTTCCGGCTTTTGAATCTAAGTAAACATTCTGAGCTGGGAATCATTGTTCATGATTCTTTTAAGTGTTAAAATTAAAATTAAATTAGAGGGATAAGCGGAAAACATTTTTGGTTTTGAAGGAAACTTATACTAACTATTGAACTGTCTTGTATTTTGAGTATCGCTTAGTTTCATTAAAAAGTATGAATGGTGCTTTGATTTGAATAATTTATTCAACTTTTTATTTTCATGAATAATTACCTTTTTTGTTACTTTTTCTGTTTCAGATCCACCATTTACTGCAGAAAGATTGGTTACACACTTGAACATCGATGTTAAGCAATATTTGCTATGAAGCCTCATATCCACAATGAAAAGATTCTAAAAAGTAAAAATCATTCACTATTCTTTATATAAAAACGTGGTTTTTCAAAACTTGAATAAAGTGCAAATGGAATAATTATTTTCCTGACAAAAGTATGTAAATCTCTTAACCATTCCAAACATATTTTTGATTTTGAACACACACGGTTCTACTCCAGACAATTGTTTGTTTAGTTAGAGTCATTCTTGATGATGCTGGGTTAATATTGCTTAAAGACGAGTTATAGCAAATATTTTTCCATCCCTTCAGTAAAACGGTTTTATGATGTTTGAGATCTAGAATCTTACCAATTCCGATACTAACCATCAGGAAGGGATCTAGTACATAAAAAGATTATTTATTTATTGCATAAAAAAAATTTACAAACTCATAAAATCTAGTTACAAAGCCATTAATGGCTTGTCTGCAGCAATTATTATAAACTAGCTGTTACCCACGGGCTTCGCCCCGTTTGTCTTCATAAGTATTAATAAAACTATTGATTGGTTAAGTTAAGAAACAAAACAGAATACAGTAATACAAACAAATAATCACACTTTTAATCTATAAGTATAAAAGAGGATGTTTGTATATATATGTTTGGCAGTGATAAACTCAGACACCGCTGAACCGATTGCCACGAAACTTGGTACATACGTGTAGAATTTCATGGAATAGGTTTATACACCATCAATTTCGTGATCCGTCCAATCGGCTCTGCCCCAGTGGCTCTGGAGTTTCCCATGTTAACCTTATGAGAAATGGAATTAATGAATCTTAACAGCTGTTTCAATTAAACAAGTTGGTTCTGTTCTATGATGTTCAATAGCATTAAAGTTACAAGGATTACCAACAGGGTGTAGCACTATTATTTCTTTTACATTTATGACAACAATTTGCAACCAAAAGGTGAGTGAGCATAGCGAACGAACTTCAACCTGGAGGCGAGTTTGCGTAGTGAACGAGCTAACCTGAAGGCAAGTGAGCGCAGCGAACGAGCTCCAACCTAAAGGTGAGTGAGCGTAGCGAACGAGCTCCAACCTAAAGGTGAGTGAGCGTAGCGAACGAACTTCAACCAGGACGTGATTGAGCCGAATAGAAAGACCAAAAATATTGTCTACCCACTAGCATTAATATAAGAGCAATAATAAAGAATCGGTTATCCTTTGAACTATATGTGTTTCATTAGTTGTCGTAAGTATTTTAATTTAGTTATAAGCACTTCATATACAATAAGACAATTAAACGTTACGGTACTTAAATTATAAATAGTCAAAGGCAAGACAACGTCTGCCGGGTTCAGCTAGTAAGGTAATAAATTGAAAGAGTAACAAACAAAAAAGTAAGTTACAGCTGAGGTATTTTTAACATTAGTTATTTGGAAAGTTCCCTTTAAAAAGAAATTACGACCTAAAGGGAAATTTATGAAATAATGGATTGTTTTGCGCAAAACTAAGTGGCCGTTGATGAAGCAGGGTTTTCCTACTCAGCCCAAGGGCATCTGCCACTATCGCACCCAAAGGTCTGCAGCATTCTCTTTGACTGTATGTTGCCATTATGTTTGGGTGATGTTTGGGTCTGACGGGCAAACGAAGTAGATCGGGTGCTGGGTCCGAGCCCGCCAGGGGTATCTGGGGATCTATCGCTCTGGTTATCTCTGGTTTCCCAGCAATGGGTAAGGCCTCGATCGGGCAGCGGTGTAAATGGGAGGGTCCCCTTCCTCCTGGCTATTGATGGCGGGTTCTGCCTGTCAGGGATTAGATAGGTCCCGAGTGTTGCTTGCACTAAATGCGTCGGGGCGCTCTACCATGGACCTCTAGGTCTCGACCTAGTGGAACCCAGGTGGAGTGACGCTTAAACAAGCAGCCGGAATCCCTGGTTAGGATTGAGGGGCAACCCTCCTTCCGAAGGGTCTGCTTCGGCAGCCGGCGAGCCTGATGACCTTAAGTCATCCGCCCATGATGTGCTAAAGGTTGATGCGTAAGCTTCGGCCTACATCATGGGGCCCGGGTATGTCCTAAAGGATAGGTACCGGGTATGCAGTCAGGGGGCTTCGGCTCTCATGACAAAACAAAATGGAAATGGAAATGGAAATGTTGCCATTATCATGACGAGGAATTGTCCGTTAGGGTTTGAGTTTCCCCCGACAATGCCCTTTATCTTTACCTTTGATGCCCAGTGGTCCATGTCAAGGTCATTCTCCAGCTTGAGGCCTTCCTGGTCATTGCCCCTTTGAGGTGGAAAGAAACACTGATACCTTCACAGCTTTCACAAGGTCTCTGGCTGGGGCAAGCTGTAGCAAGATTTTCCTGAAGGGATTCTACTCCTAAACTTGCTTGACCAGCCAATCCTTTGTTGCTGCGTTAGCACAGCCAACCACCAAGGCTCCACCTTCAAGATGGCAGCTGCTTATCCTGACGTCTTTGCCACAAATGGCCCACCTGGACAGCTCCCCACTGATTTTATCGGCTTCAGCCTCCGTTTGTTTCCTGTCCGGGTGTTCAGATCTGGCGATGGCCATCTTCTCCATAGACAGTGTCTCCGAATAGGTGGATGCCGGTGCTCTCTGCGAAACACCCGAGCCCTCTCCCTCTTTTGTCCTCGTCTTCTTTATCTCGCCCCATACATCCTCATGTGTCAGGTGCTCTCGACCCCTCTTTCCACCTTTCTTCCTGGAGGATTTACTAGAGTCAGCTTAGGGGTGCCGCCCTCACCCTGCTTTTTTCCCAGCATCCTATTTCCCGGAGAAACTGGCTTTGCAGGGAGCAGGGTTCGGGTGCTTGGCAGCCCACGCCAACCTCCTCTCTCTTCTGGATAACATCGCCTTTGGCTAAAGCATCCGCAATGCTTCGTCTTCGTAACTTGCCCCTGGAAAGTTGTTTTTTTTTTCATTCCTTTCTGGTTTTCGCGAGCTTGTCGTCATCGTCAGATTTCAGTAGACCTTCCTCCTCCATTGGGGTCAGATTTTCTACGATGTTCCCACGAATACCGGGTATCCAAGGTCCACCTCCCCAGTGACCCAATTAGAGAGGTAAGGGATACATACAACTGAGTTCCCCTTGGTTCCCAGAAGGCTCCATTAAGACACTGAATATTAGGCCCCCAGTGCCACAAGACTCTCGGCATGGATCGCATTAGTCTAGGGATAAATGCTGTATAGGCTAGGGGGGCCTCACTTGGTTCTGTAGGTGGACCAACACCCAGTGGCAGAAGGTAGCTTTCCGCAGCTAAAAAGTGAGCGTTGAAGTTTAGGTGTGGCCAATCTGCCGAACCAACCCCGGATGCAAGGTTTGGCCGGAACGGCGCAAAAGCTTCTCCCACTCCCTAAACCCCCATACCTTCCTTGCTAACAAGTTAACAAACCTTGAAAAATTGTCTAAGATAAAAAAAAGTTTTATTGATTGAGATCTCACACTTCAGATTTACCATAATTAGGAATTGTTAATCATGATGAAAGAGGGCAACAAATATAAAGTTAAAATTGTTTAAACTAAAAGTGCATTTTCACATGAATACAGATGTGCTATCTAATGGGCTGTTTACATGCTGATTTTCGATCTTGGGTCCTGACCATCGAAGGGAGCATTGCGATAATAGTTCAGTCCTTTTTCTCAGCTACTGTAGTATCAAAGCTACAAAAATGGGTGTTGTCAACTTAATAGCACAAATTTAATATCACAATCTGTACCGGTAGTTAAATGTTTATTACTTCATCCTCAAGTACTTAGCAAATTTTCTGGAATGTTGACTTAAATCACTATACAAATTATGGTACTCTCCTGGACTTTCCTCAAGATCGAACTTTATTACATATTGTCACAGACTAACCAACAACCAACACAAGTAGACTTCTCATCCCATTGTAAATTTTGAAGCTCGTTTTTAGTATTAAGTTCATGTCTGGTAACTGATCACTAGTGTCGATAAAGTATTCGATATTTTAGGGTTAATTTAATGATTTGTGATTTTCTGTTTGGTTATATAACTATACTACACATACCACTATGCCAACATGTAACTATGCTATACATGTTGCTCGAATTCGAGCAATTGCAAAGTATTACATGAGTTATTTCAAAACGAATAACAATCATATTTTAAAAGAGTCAACTCAAAGATTACCGGTGTGTAACTCAGACCATGTTTATCTTCATTACTGTTAACCTAAAGCATTCCGGCCGGTTTTCTCCTTCTCAAAATGCCTCGATGTACAGGCAATACAGGTCATTGATAGAGGGCCAATTGAGAACGAAAAGTCGTTTTGGGGTAGTGTTAGGGCGCATTTGTAACTTATAGCTGAGATTGTCCAGGGGTCAGGTGCTGACTGTGAGTTAAGCCATAGACAAAAAGAATTCTTTTTGTCTATGGTTAAGCCTATTACGCGCCACTGTTCTGCGGTCGTTATCACGATTACACGATGTTTCGTTTTTGCGTCGGAGCGGAGGCATTTAAAAGAAAAAAACAAATAAACAAATTATAGTTACACAAAACAACAATAAATGTACAAATTTAAGCTACACTCATGCTAACACGAACCGTCTATGGGTTATGTTTACACAAACTCAAGTAGTAAATAAATGTACTCAATGTGTTTCATTGAATTGAAAAATAAATAACAGCTGATCAAAATGTGTTCTTCATAAAATAAAATGGGAACTTAAACAGCCACTGGGGCTTCCCAAAAATCCCAAGGGACTTTTTCAAAAATGTAAGGCCAGTTTGCAGGTCTACGCGACACGCTCTTTCCAATGAGACGTCAATGAATAAAATCGGTTAAGAAATGGCGGAGGAGTTCATCCGACAAAGTTTCATGTAGCGTATTAATTATATAGATAGGGAACGAATTATTGTTTATGATTAGATCGTTTTATTTATTGGTTTAATGGTTTTAAATTACTGAAATAGCAAGAAACAAATTGTAAACAAAACATGACCTCTACAGTGCACCAGACTAGAACTAACAATAACATTCACTTCAGTTGTTCTATAAAGATGAGAAACCTACTAAGGGAGTGTGTTTTAGTTTTATCTATGATATTGTTTACTACACATTAAATCCCTTTTTTAGCGAATTTCCCATATAGGGAATAAGCTAT